CAGCAGTGGTGCTGACATGTCACAGACTGGAAATGTGTGTGGCCGGTACAAGCTGCAGACCTGCTAGCATGTGATACCTGATACAGATATCTATCACTGTGTTCTGGGCATCAGATCCATTCCTCTCATATAACCTGGGCCAATATGTGCTTGTGCACTGGTGTTCGAGCCCTAGGTGGCACACGTCACCTCTGTTCATCCTCAGTGCTCAAGACGTATTTCGTCCAGTGCTGCTCGAGTCCAGTGAGCAGGACCTCCGTAGAATCACTGTCATGTTCTCATCTCCAGGGAAAGCTGTTGCTTCATGAGCCGTGTCAGGACACAAACCGCCCCAACAGGATAGGCCCACAGAGCCAATCCTGAAGCCCATACACCGTAAAGTAGCAATGTCACCAGTCTTAACGAGACTGGCTCGCTGTGTATCACAATCAGGGGATCATTCGGTCAGTGCAACATTCTGTGATGTCTATCAGGGTGGTCTAAACAAGACCTTTATCACCAAAAAAGGCCACACTGCTGGGAAGTCCACCCACGGTGTTTGCAGCAACTCACCAATGGTGTAAAGGCAGTGTTCTACGGATGACCCGGGTATATATGGAAAAATTCTTGATTTTCATCAGGTTGGAAATTCGACAGGTTAAATCACCTCATCACCTGTGCCCAACCAACTGTCTTTACTGCCATGATATAGTACTTACAGTATACGACATGAAAGTCAAATAAATGTGATTGTCTGTCATGAATTATAAATAAAACACAATGATGGGAAAAATTAACCAGATGCAATATCTTTATACCTTAGGTTTCTAACAAACACACATGAATTGAATGACACCCAAAGAAGGCTCCACAGCCAAAACGTTGCATTTTCTTTCTTCTCTTTTCAGCATGGAATAAACCTATTACTTGTTCCTTTGCAGCCTACACATGCTGACACAGCTACCCACCTGAACCACATGAATTGAATGACAAGTTTCTTTAGATACTCAATATACTTTGTTCAAAAGTGAGAACGGTTAGAGAGGACTAGTAAGAAAAACCTGTCTTGAAGCAAATTTCTATTCAGCTATACAGGGAAATTATCAACGGTCTGAACCATGAAAATCAACAAGCATCTTCCTTTAATTTTGCTGGTGACAAGCTTCTACAATAGTCCCACCTCAGACCTTTTCCACCTCTTGTTAATAGAGGCCAGGCAAAACAGCATTTCCAGTGTAGACAATAAAATACAGCGCAAAATTAAATTGCACTTTTGACAGCTCAACAAGTCCATATTGTCAGTGTTTAGCTAAACCTACATTTTTCATCTCAATGCCATTTTAATGCAAAAGATTCACAATAAATTATATAGCCTGTGCACTGTAAACCTTATTCTGTATTTCACAATTGCTCAGCAATGAATCATGTGGCTGTATCATTTTCAGCCAGCATCTCAGTGTGTATGGTATTTAAATTTGAAATGAGTACATGTCTCGACACTTTTTATTTTTTTTAAAAGAAGGGCTTCTTTTTTGGTGTAGATAGTTTTTCTGTTCTTATGGGTGCAATTGTAATATCCCTTGTGGTGTTCGGAGTCCACATTATCTATCATAACAACAGAACATGTGCTGGTGTTGCAGCTGGATTCCCTGCATGGCAAGGTGCAGAAGGAAAGAGAAGACCTCCTGCCTCAGTGCTTTACTGTTATCCTCACTGACACCTACAACCTGAGACAGGCCAGGGAGATAACCACCATCTTGGTGTGTGTGTCTATACATTAAGCTATAAAAACAACAGCAGACATTTGCATTTACCGAGCGGTAAATGACAGGACAGTGAAGGGAGTAATCAGAGGTTAGTCCAGGTTGCAGGACCTTAAGAGGAGGGTGCATTTAATTTTTGGGAGATTTTGTCGTTGAGACATTTTCAGTATGAAGAGAACAGAACAACCCATGCAAGACCAGCATCTGGGTGGGTGGGTGGGGCTGGTATTTCTTGCTGCTAATGAATGTCTTTGTCCTAGCCTCACTTCCCAGACAGCAGACAGAGAAAAGCCCCAGTCGTGTCATTAAGCACCCAGGTGTGTTTCAGCTAGGAGATTCTGGGAGGAATCAGTGGCGCAGGTCTGTTCTCTGTGTAAATGAAGGAAGCAAAAACTTTAAAATGTGAGGAAAAATGTCTTGTGACATTTGTGAGCGTAGCCTTTCTTCAGCTGTTACATATACATGTGTGTGATAGCCCTCATGCCGCTTGGTTTACTTTCAGCGTCTAAATAGTATGGTGAGTTAAATGTCACTGAAAGTCTTTGACTCCAATATCCTGCATGACTTGCTCCAACATGCTCCATGTTGAAAACACACTGATGACTAGTCAAGAAAGACAAACAAAAATGTACTCATTCAAATGAACTACAGGCTTCTTGGGGTTTGACATGCAAAGATTAATTGTCATGAAACGCAGGCATACAATGCTCAGGGTCTTCTTTGAAGTCTTATAACCTGTAGTTGAATAACAAATAAAGCCACCTATTTATTTAGGAATTAATCATCAGAACTCTAGAATGTTATCAAATTTGCTTGTATCTATCTTGGAGTTTCTGGGTGATTTTAGGTAAAATGTATCTCTCTTTTATGTTCAAAGGGAGAGACTGAAAATGGACGACTGTATGTATTTTCTCAGTATTATTTTTAAAAGTATAGTATTTTAATCTCACATTAGATCTGATAAACTGTCGAGTGATGTAATTAATTACATCTCCTGGTTCATTTCTTGTTACGACCTGAAATACTATAACAATCTACCTCAGTTCCTGAGCATGACATCAAAACCAAATTGAGCATATATTAAAGGTACTGTAGCAACATTTCCAAAGGTAAAAGCAGATTACTTAAAAGCTGTCAAGGAAGAACACTTATTCCACCGCTGTTATCTTGTGATAGACAGCGGTAGACAGTCAAAGATGCACTGCAAGCACACAGTTTTGAGTAAAAAAAAGACAGGTTCCCTTTGTATCTGGTGCCATTAAAATTAGTTTCCAAATTACACTTGTATCATAGCAGTTCCATATCCATACCCACGGTACAAATCTAAATCTTTTGCCTGAGTCTCCGTTATTAGCTCTGCGTGTTTTATACGGTGTATTAAGTCTAATTCCAGCCCACCCTTTTCAAAGTGTCTAAGGGCTCTCTGTATCCATTCATATAAGGAGAACAATGGTCTCTGATGACTTTGCAAGGTATTTATGGTACCTGGCTTCTGCTACACAACAGCTGAACCATGAGAAATCTGTTCTTAAAAGAGAAAGAACGAATTCTGTGCAAAATCTGACATCTAAATTTTGAATTTATTGGAATTATTCCAGCACTCCTCACTTTTTCTAGTTTCCAACCTTAAGAAGAATGTTTTAGCTTTAAGTCTTCAAGTTTTCACCAGAAGTTGTTTTATGAGGTGTTCAGATTTGTCATTCATAGGTCTCCTTAATAAGAAAGGTTCTTGAAAACACAATCCTTTCTGAAATATCTTTTTAATTAAGTCCCTTGGTGTTGCTTCGTTTTAAAAAAATAATAATTTCTGGTGGTTTTAGTCATCTGTTAGAAAATGGTCAAAGAAACAGGAAATAAAACATCCTGGAGTCATCAGGGGAAAACCCAACCTAATGATCCGACATTTCTATTTTCAAATGTGTCACTCCAGAGACCACGAAAGACCTTCCTTGCATAAGAAAGGCAATAATGCAGTATGTTAATCCTCTTTCTCAATTACATTTCAAGGACTTTATAATTCTCATTATATAAAAGGTGAGGAGGAAAAAAGACTTGGGAACCTGTTGGGATTTAAAAAGCTGGCTTTTCTCTCACATTACTTTCAACTGTGTGTAATGACCTGGCTTTGCAAGCATTCTCACTGGGACTGGTAACCTGGAAGGCTAGAAATGGCCTTCTCCTGCTAAAAGTGCAGGACAAGATTTTAAATTGATCCTAAATTATCTGGTAACCCCTCAATGGGGGTTAGTACACAGTTTTCTGAATATTCAAAATTGATATCTGTGTATAATTTGGATACAAACTGTAGCATGCTTACAGACCCATGGCAATGCAAATAGGATACTAACTAAAAAAAACTTAAATAAATAAACAGAGTTTAACGACAGGAAATTGATTCCAGTTGTCAGATCACGTATACGCATACCTTAGCTTTGTGCAACAACCTGAAACTTTCAGGTACCATAAATAATATTATTGCTAAGCATATGCCATTCTAATCTGCAAGCGACCAGAATATAGAATACGAATGTTTGTATAAAAATGCATTAATTCCTGTTCTACACCTGCATGCTTTGGAAGCACTGGCCTACCTGTATACAAAATATACAAAATGTATATACAAAATATACAAAATGGTAATATACAAAATTCAAAATTGATATCTGTGTATAATTTGGATACAAACTGCAGCATGCTTACAGACCCATGGTAATGCAAATAGGATACTAACTCAACCTGAAGACTGCAGCATTTCAGAATTGCATCAACCTGTAGATTTCATTTTGACTGTCTCAGTACATGCTTTTAAAAGCCAAGTTGAAGTCCAATAATGAAGCTGACTTAAAGGAGAAAAAGTCCATTTAGAAACCATTGTTTATATTAAATACAATTTAGTCCTTGGGGGATTTTATTTGAGATTACCTGTACCTGTATAAGAATAAATTAGAAGAGAAGAAAGAGATAAATATGAAATTATGCAACTGTCAAACTTTAATGTTCATATGTCTGTTGATAAGACTGAAGCAAAGTGAGAATAGAAAATATATTTTAATGCATTTTAAGACCTTTAAGCACCTTAGTGACTCTAGCTGGGATTAACTGTATTACTTTATAAGAAACCACTTTGATACTGTTAGAGTATAAAATCTATTTTTAATCACTGGAAAAAAATGAGAGAATTAAATTGTAGAATGAGAGATTTCTATTAGGTTATATTGACAAATGTAAACAAAGACAATATAACTGAAGTCCTTTTGTACAGCAAGCCGTAATTATTTAATCTCTTTATTTGTAATTAATACAACGTCTACTTGAAAACTCTCAATTCTTAATCTCCGCTATACAAAATCCTGTGCTGTTGGCGGATCATTATCTATCCACAAAAAGACTCTCTTCAGTGATTAAAGCAGTATAAATCTATAAATACAAATGCCAGAGATTTACTTTTGACATACATCCCTCGTGGAGCAAAATGTTTTCTTTTTTATCAAAGCCTAAAATATATATATATGTATGTATGTAAAAAGCAATAGAACTGAATATTAATGTTCTCTGGAGACAGATGTTGGTTGAATACATTGCTACTAAAATGCAGAATTTGACCCTTCTGATCCACAATCCTCATCAGAGCATCTGCAGCCCTGGTGGACCGTTTGTCGCTCCCACATCCCGTCCCGCTGGTATTTACTGCTGCTCCCGGATCTCCATGCCACAGTGTTCATTTCACCCAGCGCATGGACATCCGGCTCATGTGGTTTATATCATATATATACTGTAGATAAGGGTTTTTAAACTGTCGCCCAAGCGATTCTCTTTCACTGACTGGTCAGGTGACTGCGGGCGGCAGACTGCTTCCTGGAGAATGTGGTTCAGACGAGAGCTTCGCCACATGAGGGACCTCGGTCACAGCGGACTAGTGACGTGGTACAGGCTCACAGAACCGTCACAGCCCAGGAAAGAGCCTTCACAGGCCCGGCCTCCATTCGCTGCATTGTTGTCCTGTCCCACTGTAGCTCGACTGGATGAAATATTTCACACTGAGGCTATTTTCTGTGGGTTTCTCAAGCTGCAGGGCAAATCTGACCATGTTTGATCGCAATACGAGCGGACTGCAAAAGAAAAAAGTGAAAGAAAAAGGCAACGATTACCACTGAAGCCTTATGAACCAAAAAAAAACTCCAAATGGAATGCCTCATTACAAAGGCCAGCAGAGCTGTTGGTTAATCCAGGCCAGAGTTAAAAATAGTTGTGACAAAACTGCACACTTTAGCTAGTGCTGGCTGTCTGCTTCTCAAACTGATAAGGAGACGGACCCCAGTGGCATGCCATCAGATCTCAGTGCTGCAGTCTACAAGCACACAGTGCAGCTCAACAATGAAGATGTCTCAATTACCCGCTGATATTGTAGATTAATTTGAGGCATTAAATCTCCGAACCACGACACGAAAATTACAACAGCGGAATGAATAACCAGTGGACACCCAGGCTGACTTAATTCCCCGAGGGTCACAGCAAGGCCAGAGTTTCCACACAGTAAATCTGTCATGTTCTGTCATTTCATTTTCCAAAAACAGAAAGTTTATCTGCGTGCAAGCGAACTATTCAAGCTTTTCAGAAATGTAATGCTGTGTACTTTTTAAGAGTAAGAACGCAGGCCTACGCTAACAGAATATCCACAAAAATGACCAGAATAGTTTACACTATTAATAAATACGTTATTAACACAGATGATGGGTTTGGAAACAAAGCAAACAAAAAAAAAACATTTTAATAGAGACTATGTATTAACCATGTTCTGTGCTAAGTCTAAACAATGATCCGTCAGTCAGAATCCTGAATGTCATCATCATCAATTTCCCTACGGGATTAATAAAGTATTATCTATCTATGTTCCATTTTGTGTTTATCAGAATGACCTCCTTTGTCTTACCTAAGCAAAGCCAGCATCAATAGTATAGGGTCTGGGGTTTGCAATGGGCTCACAGAGACAAGTGTTGATTGAATCTGGGCCCGGTCTAAGAGAACAGTGCAATATAAGCAATAGTAGTGGCCAAGTGTTTAGGGCGATGGACTAGAAATCCCTCAGGGTCTCCCCACGCAGCTTTGAATCCTGCCAAATACAGCGTCTCCTCATGTCGTTGTGTGCCAGCACAACAAAGGAGAAGCACTGCTTCACTGTGGGGCGTTGCAGTGGCTCTGTGGCTCAGGATCTGCGCCTGTGGCTGGAAGGTTGCCGGTTCATATCCCGCAGCCGGCAGAGGAATCCTACTCCGTTGGGCCCCTGAGCAAGGCCCTTAACCCCAGCTGCTCCAGGGGCACCGTATAAATGGCTGACCCTGCGCTCTGACCCCCAGCTTCTCTCTCTGTCTGTGTATCTCATGGAGAGCAAGCTGGGGTATGTGAAAAGACAAATTCCTAATACAAGAAAATGTATATGGCCAATAAAGTGATCTTAAAAAAATATATAGAAAGAAAAAGATAGGTTTTGAATGCGTCACTAACCATATAGATGCACAGAAAATGGATTTATTGATACTGTACATGGAAGAGCGGACGGAATTAAGTGCTTAATTTGTACTGTTTGTACGATCTGTAAAGTCTGACCCATGTTTTATAGTTGTCTGCAGCCCAGATGAACCAACAGTATTGGTAACAGGTCAAAAATTCTTTCTACAATTTGCATAATAAGATATTTGTTAGCTATATAGGCACAGAAAATAAAAAAACAAATGTCTATGTGGTTGTTTTAAAATGCCCTACGACATGTTTAAATAAAAAAAAATATTATTGAATTAAAATTCACTGCTCTTCTTTGATATTTTGGACTTTGTAAGGGTTGCCTAGAAACATGGAGCAGAGTTCAAAAAGGAAATCAATGTTTACTACCTAATTAATCAGAAGTATACGAAAATCAATTTTCATCTTGTGGTTCAGATTATACTGGGCAGATGATGCATGTCTGCCAGTTGTCACAGGGATTGACACTACTGTCGGGGAAACAGCTGCAAAATAAGTTAAATTACTTTTATTCTGTTCAAGTTTTAGTTTCTCATAAACAGACAATGATAATAATGGAGGGAAACCTGTAGTCTGATGAGAAAAATATATTTTTTTTAAAAACAGGAAAACCTGAGGTTGGCAGTGGCCCCAGCTACATCCTGCTCGTTATTGGGGAGAGAGGAAACCTGAGCACACACACCAAGAAGCCAGGTGAAAACGTGCAGCTTCTCACACTGAGATTTTTCTGCTGCCTCACAGCTCCCAGTTGCAGTCCTGTATCGTGTGTCTGTGTGTCATGCGCTTGCCATTCCTGAGCTCAGGTGGGTTTGTTCGGGATCTTCCTGACCTCTGAAAGACAAGCGGGATTGAGTTGGCTGGGTTCTCTAAAAGGTCTTCTTTGTTCCTCAGGAGGAACACCGCCTCATTACTGCGTCTCGTCAAGAGCTACACTGGTGCATCCCTGCCCTGTGCTCGCTATCGGGTCCAGGTTGCTTTGACAGGTTATTATTATTTTTGACACTGGTGTTTTATTCATTCCACAATCTAGTACTGTCTTGAGCAGAACTATGAGTCTGACGATACGATATACTCCACCTTCATATAACCCTACAAGACATACACATCCTTTGGACATTTTAATGATGCGTGAATGGATTAGGACTATAAAGTCTACTGTTTCTAACCTTTCTTGTCTTCTTAGGCTAGCTGGGCTGAATGGTCTCCTGTCATTCGTGATCAGCTTTCTTCCTCTGAGCCACCGCCCCTGAAAATCCACCTGCTACTTCAGACCAAGGCTTCCAACCAGAGCGACATCCAGGTCTGTGGATTGAAGAGCCACCCCCTCAGAAAGCCCAACCAAAACATCATCTTAAGGGCTCCTGTCAAAATCCCCTCTTTCCGCACACATCCTCGGCCTTGGCAGGAGGACTCGGTTTCCTCCGAGGCAGAAGCAGGAAGCTAATTTGATGCCTAGCGAGCTTTAACCCTTATCTGCATGGTTCCACTGTGGGTTCGAGCTCGAACCTCACCTTCCTGTCTGCCAGAGCCCACCAACGCCGACGTCTCACAAGTGCAAAAATGTGAAGTTGGCTGAAGGTGGTTGAATTTATTTTATTTCACCGAAAGTCCATCGTGTTTTCAGATTATCAAGGATGCTAATTATTCTAGAGAAAAATATGATGTATGATAGGTACTTAATAACTATGTGTGGTATCTAAACTTAAATAAGGTGATAACTGAACTTCATTAAATTCGTGATTTGCCATCGCCCCCTGTACTGCAGTAGCTCTGTGCTGTTATGCATTTAGTGAACGTGTTTATAATATATGCCTCACACGTTTTCACATCACCCACACATACCAGTGGTCATGATGTCCATGTCTGGATTTCTATTAACTAAAAAAACTCTCCTCCTTTCTATAAAAAACTCAACGCCTCGTTTTTGCCGGAGCCCCTATAACACTTCAGCCTAATCAGACTTATCTTGGATACGCTCCTCTGTTGTTTCCAGACCAAAACGGCTGTGGATCGTATTTCCACTTGTAGCCGATTCATTGCGTGTTGAATTCATTCGGGGATTTACAAAACAAGGAAACGTTTCTTCTAAAATGCTGTTTTTCCCCACATGCATAACGTTAGTAAAAATATCAGCACTGATTGCTTAAGTTTTTGGTTCAGTGACTTACAGACACAAATTCCAGTGCGAAAACCATGCGGTTTCCTCAGGAAAATACAAACCAAAATGAGGTTAGCGATTGTCCAGCTTAGGCATTAGTTTGTCTACAGCGCCATCTGCTGTCGACATGGCTTGCCGTTTTCAGTATTTTGACATTTTCCCAGGGGTGAATATTCATATTTCTCATTTGTTGGATAAAGGACATAGAAACATTTGCCCTTTGAGTGGAGTGTCCAGAAAAGTGCTATATAAGTGTATATATCCATTAAGATCCATTAACGTTGTCATTAATATTAACGACAGATGAGAAGCAACGTTAAATCAATTTGCAGCAGAGTTCTGCTTAATAATTTTTTGGAAATGATATACTTTACATGAGGAATGTGTACAAAAAAAGCATTGGATGCAAGCAATGCACTCAACTGCAGTACAGAAAGGCTAAAGACTGAAAAAAGAAACTGTTGTCACTTTGAACATGTTTACTGCATTAAGGGTCTTACACACAATCCTGCACAAGTTTAGAATATCCAGTTATTCAACAAAAGACCACACCTTAATGTTGCTCCTCTGCTCTATCTGTAAGATGTAAATCCCCACTATAGTACTGACAGATAATCAGATTTCCTCTTTGTTGAACCAGAGCACAAAGGAAGACCACAGGGGAATGCATTCACAATGGAGGTCAGAAGGAACCTCCTTACACACAGTCTTGTGGGGGTCTGGAACAAGCTGCCCAGCCTGTGGAAGACGATACCATTGCTTATTTCAGGGAGTAACTGGGATGGATGATCCATGGATGAATGAGCTACAATCAAACTAGCTAGAATGTCCCAATGGGTTTTTTTTTTGCATGCAAATTAATTTATGTTATTACATTATCCATCTTGGGTAATGTCTTCTGTATTTTCACCCTTTGGCTCTCTTGTTCACCATCACTAAGTATTTGTTCCCATGGGGAAGCACCAAGGTGACACGGTTACAGTACTTCCCCTTGACATGTCTGCTAGTTCAGCCTGCAGACGTGCGTCTGAGAGCTGCCATTTTTGGTGTTGTTTCTTAAGAATAAAACACAGGTTACAGAAGAGAGGAGACCAGTCAGGCGATCTCGACGGCCCAGTTTCCAATTGACTCAGAAGTCTTCTCAAGACATTCTTTGAAGGCTCCCAGTGAAAGGACAACATTGCTTGGCAGTGTTTTTCCATACATCCATGCCTCCGTCTACACAGAGAGGCCCTCTCTCGGTCCTGAATGTTTGTTTGTATACCCCGGCAGTCCCTTACAGGATCCTGAACAACGTGCATCGCTGATCCCCAGGCTCCGCTTTGTTACAATAAATCATGTGTTTAAATCTCCTCACGTGTGACATTCCTGTCAGTCCTGAGATTATTACGGTCCCTCTGTTTAGGGCTTCGTTGGTTAGCATTTCGGAGGTCGGCTTAAACAGAAACCACAGTGAATGAAGCAGGGCAAGGACGCCAGAGGTTGAAGAAAAATTCAAAGGCCATGTGCTATTTTTATATCCCACCTTCATGCTTTACAAAGAATTTACAGAAGCACTTGGGAATGTTGACATTCCAGAACTGCTCCACCAGCTTATCAATAGTTACTTACAGGTCTAAAAGCCAGCAGGGCAGATATCGAGATAGCCTGCACCACAGATAAATTAGAGATAAGGCTTAGCTAAAAGCTGTGCTCTTTCAAAGGTAAACAGATAAAAATAAGCAGCATACATCCTAAAGAGCATTTAACACAAAGGAACTAAATCTAACTAAATCAAAGGTCTCAGTATCACTTTTAATTCAGATATTAACTACAATGCAGTCTTATTTCAGGAATTCAGGGATGAGTGCAAAGGAAAAAGTGGTTTCATCTGAGATTTTAATTGTATTTACATAGTATAGTATAAACGATGAGCAGTAATAGCATCAGAAATTGAAATAGTAGATGTGGCTAATGACTGCTTTCAAATTCAGTTTATAACAGCGCCTAGAGGGCATATCTGTATTGATCTAGTCTTGCCAAACAATCAGGTCAGAGTGAGGAAAACAGAGGCGGGAGAATCATTAGGGAACCGTGATCATAATATGGTTTATTGTATCCTTCAAAGTCCAAAATGGAGGTTCACACTTTCAGTAAATCTGGCTATGAAGGAGACAGAGCTTCGGAGGAATGCAGTTAGAGAATGGGGATCTAATGAATTGCAAGATCAGATAAAAGAGGATATGAGAAAGGCTAAAACCGAGACAAAGGGGAATATTGCAATAAAAGCTCAAATAAATAGATCATTTTCACTATTAAATCGGTATTAAGACCATTAAAGGATGATTAATGTTTCCCTTTTTATCTCTGAGATGCTTTCAGATGATGAAAGGAAAGTAGCGATGTATTAAATGAATGTTGTCTTTCATGAACCCTTTGCTGAGGCAGAAACAAACAATGTGCCGCAGGCTGAGCAAACAAAGTTCTGTGCCGATGGTGTTTAATATACCGTAGAAGAGGGAGAAGTGTTACAGGTGCTGGAAGCAATTGAGCTAAACAAGCAAATCTCTTCTAGCGGTCTCTGGAGAGAGGAGTATACTCCCCTCTGAGAGAAGAGTGACAGAACTGAACAAAGTAATTTTACGCCAGTAAGTCTTACTTATATATAAGGAACAATACGAATATAATGGGGACAATTATTAGAGCTACACTGGAGGGTTGTCTGTATGGCAATAGAATTCTAGGGCACATCCAGCACAGATCTGGGATTTGCCCAGCAATGGTTCAACTCGTTAGAGTTCTCCTTCAGCGACGAGGGGGCTTCACCACTCTTGCCCCACCAGGGCCTCCCGGGACCCTCCCTGCACGACTCCAGCAGCAGTGCGTCTCCAGCGATGCCTCATGAGGGCCCCAGACCAGCCCACCTCCTTCCCCGTTCTCCGGCTTCTCCAGCCTGAACACCCCGGAGGACACGCAGCCCTGGGGAAGCTGCCCCTGGCTGCAGCCTCCAGCCGGAGCTCAGCCTGGCGCGGCGCCTACAGCCCCGCGGTGCGGACAGGCACAGCTGGACGGTCTGCACCCCCCTGCTGAAGAGGGATGCAGTCAGTCTGAAAGATCTTTCAGGTGCCTGCCCACCAGGATGTCGTCAAGGACCGAAGTCTCGGCCATTTCAAGAGGAGGCCTGGAGACCTGACAACTTCTTATGTCCTAGCCTCCTTATCCAATTCAGGGTCGGGCCGGGGCAGGAGCCTGTTCCAGCAAGGAGGGGTACACCCCAGACGGGACCCCAGACGGGACCCCAGACGGGTTGCCAGTCCATTGCAGGGCACGCACAGACAAACACGCACACACCCACACCAGGGCCAGTTTCCCCAGAAAGGCTGGGTCCCTTCAGACTAATTTGGTATAATTAATAATTATAATAATTGCTTACACTTACATAGCCCGTTTCTGGACACTCCACTCAAAGCGCTTTACAGGTAATGGGGACTCTCCTCCACCACCACCAGTGTTGTGCAGCCCCACCTGGATGATGCTCCAGTCTGCTCACACACACCAGATATCAGTGGGGAGGAGAGCAGAGTGATGAAGCCAGTTCATAGAGGTCTATGTAGAAGGTCTCAGTAGTGCCCCAGTGTCAAGACACTATGCCCTCTGGTGTATTGGTGACTGCATTCCTTTTCAGCGAACCAAAATCATGAACACAATCCACAATTTTAGCAATGGTTTCAATGGGTTGGCGCCTGATGCCAGTGACTTCCTCTCTTCCTGCTAGTTTGTGCTCCAGCTGAGGCGTGCTTGGATGCAGCGTCTTCATCGCAGCTCCAGCTCCATGTTTACTGGAAGCTGTTGTCGGACTGATCGTTGGATTTAGGCCGTGGTGATGCGTGTTGAAAAACAAACTACAGCTGAAAAGAAAGCAGTGACTGTGCAAGCCGACTAGTTTAGCAAATTTTCCCTGTCCAAATAGTAATATCAACCTGAAAGTAATAGCTGCTGAAACAGTTCATTATAACAAGGTAGGGGATGTTTCCAGCCTTTCAAACATCCCTCTCTGAGACAGGACATCCGTCATTCCTCATCCACCCTCTTATTTCTTCGTGGAAGAGATAAACAGAATATCTGTTCCACCCCCGTCTGAAAAAACAACCTCGTGTTGTCTTCTGATAGTTGCCCTGATTTGTTCGCGTATAAAATAACTTTTTTGCTTTAATCTGGTGCTTTATGTTTAAAATGCACACAGAAGATCTCCAATATGTCACGGCCAGTGAAAAGGCACGTCCAAGTAGCGCAACATCCAATGTCGTGTGTTTTTACAAAAATATTTAAATTAAATTCATGTGGTACCTATATCCCCCACGTGACCGCATGAGGTTTACTTTTGTTGATGTTGATGTCTCGTTTTTGAAAGACTACTTTGTTTCACACTACTCCGTTTAGGATGTCCTTTTCTTTTCTCTGGGAAAGGGACAATTCTCTGTCAAGACACTGCAAACAAACCGAGTGAAAAGGCGTCTCAGAAACTACCTTAATCAGAGTCGAGGTGTTTTCTCAGGCGTCGGTTATTGTTTACCCTGTTTGCATAGAAAAGAGTCAATAACTTTACCATTCGAATAACAACTAACAACCTACAAGGTTAGATTGAATTAAACTGATTTAATTTAGTCTGTTGTCTGGTGTGTGAATACACAAAAAGATGCAGAATACACAAAACGAACCGAATGGCCAAAGACACAAGCAAGTCATTGCCAGAAACCAAACACGGAAAAACCACAGTTAGCTTTTAACTGGGATAATGCAATCATGTAAAGTGTTTGTTTTGGAAGCCATACAATTCCAATACGAACTATATTTTGTACCGAAATATGAAATGTATGTCATTTTAGTCAACAAAGACTGGACGTGTATCTCAATAAACTCAATAGCTTTAAGTTGTTGTTGTTGTTGTTGTTGTTTTGTTTTGTTTTTTTTTGGGGGGAGGGGGTAATTTTACTTCTATTTCCAAGATATTTTAATTAGCAACACTATGATCGATGCATTCCATACTTTTGTATCTTTTTCAATTTCAAAAAGCAAGCGTCAGGAGCATCCACAGCAACAGCATTTAGTGCTACATATGAAAATAGTTTTTAATGTGATTTAACAGTCAATGTGAAGTCCGGAAGAAAAGCTGATCTTGAAATTATTGATCAGTTGTGGAGTTATAGTTATGAGGTTTGCCTAACATAAAAATGTAATAAAGCGTTTCATCATTACAAGGAGTAAAAAGATATGTTCTTCATGTTCAAAGACAGGAAAAGTAAAAGCCCACACGTCACCTGCGAGCATACCCGTTTGTTACCTGGGGGCGTCTACTCGGAAGCTCTTTATAGGAGACGAGACAAGAAACTTAATGTTTCTCTCGGTTTCCACTTCATATTCGCCTTGTGGCCGACTGCTATTCTCCTCGCACACCTCTGGAAAACTGTGGATCCTAAACCCTGTAACAATAATATGGGGCTTTTAAAGTTATCCGAGACGTAGAGTTTCTACTGTTATTTATATACGATTAGAGATCTGCGCTCTCTCCGAGTTCCTCATGGAATCGGCTGTTGCGTCGGGATGCGAGACTTGAAGCATTTCTGATTAGATGGAGGGTTAAATCGGTATTCCCCGCATCCAGCTGATCTATTTCAACAAGAGGGTCGTTGCTCTGCGAGATCAAGGCTATAACTTGATTGCGGTCTTCGCCTGGATTTCGTTTTCGCTGCGGAAGAAAGAAGCGGTCGAGCCAGCGAAGATGGAAGACGGTCCGAGGTCTCACACGGTCATCACTACCAGCAGCTCGTACTTGGAAAACTTCTCCACCTCGACGCTGGCGTATGACAAACAGTTCATTCACACTGCTCCGGGGATCCTCGTGTTCGCCGAAATCGTGAGTATGGCTTTGCAAAATAACCTCCAAAAAAAAAAAAAGTAGTATTCGACCTGAATAGGGATGGAGAGAGCTCAGGTGTCAACAGCTTGTTACAAAACCGAAGAGTGCCTGAACGCCTCTGATCACGTTTTATCAATAAAGCACTGCTGAAGAAAGAAAAAAAAAACACAAAATACAAATGAGAGATCGAATGTTAAAACACGAGGAAACTGATTTTACCTTCGTATTTCACAAGTGGCAATCTTTAGATAATGTATGGTTAGTTTTTACGTTTCTTTTTACCGGCAACCTAATTGGAAATTCACCCGTAAACGCCGCCGTTTTTATGCTGTCATGCAGAGTGTTCCTAAAATGCTTCACAAAGGGTGATCGCCCCTTTCCAAGTTTAGGGGGTGCCCTGGTTTTGCCATTCATTTGCACGATCCCTGGAATTCGACAGGAATAATGGAGCATTGTTAGAACCGAGTCTGAAGCTCTCTTAAAGGCTGGGAAATTGCCAGCAATTCGATAAATTATTTATATCTGAGAATCAAGCATTACTTTTTAAGCATAGAATGAAACAAGAAAAATGTTTTTTTTTTGTTGAAAAGGAGCTTTTTAAATGACAAAATGACATGGCTTTATCAACAACTACGAGGTTACTGAGGTGTGTGTGTATTTTATGTATTTTTGTACCAAGAATGTTTTTTTTTCCCCGTTTGCAAATATCTAATATCTTATGCTCTCTTATATCTTATAGCAGCCTGCATCAGCTAGTTGTACGTCCAAACATGGCTGCTTGGTTTTAATTGCATGTGTGAACGGAGGGATGAAACAATCATTCTCTTAAGTCTGTCAAAGAGAAAGTCGAGAAGTTGCGATGGATGAACTCAATTTAATGCCACATTCGTGCAATGGAAAAGAGATCCCCAAACTATTTAAAAATCATGTCTGATGCAATAGGATGAGGATAGAATGTGTATCTGCTCTGTGGTGAAACCGAGATGCTTTTCAGTGTTACATTAAATATTGTAGTTTTTTTTTTAGTTAATCATTATTTAAGGGGAGTCTAAACTAACGACAACCTGAAAGGAACTGATTGTGCTACCTGTTTAGACTGAAATACCTCCAACATTATCTGCCACTGTATCTGTACATTGTCTTCTTTACTTGCCAGGTCTTTCTTGGTCCTGCTGGAAATGTGTTATGTTGCAATGCTTGAATTTATTTATCAATAAATTCAAGCATTGCAACATAACACATTTCCAGCAGGACCAAGAAAGACCTGGCAAGTAAAGAAGACAATATGTTTTTTTTTTAATCAAATAGGGCCATTTTCAATGATAATCACAGTATAGCAAACGTGCCAAGAAGACAACTTACTGTACGCATCCGCTTTCAAAACATGGTTGAAAGAAATCCTTGAAATTCTCGGATCAATTAGCTGCTAACACCCAAACGAGCTTGATGGGCCTAATGACCTTTTCTCATTTGTAACGTTGTCATCATTAATGTCTAAGTACACAAAGCAGCAGGACTCATTCAAGTCTAATGCCACCAGCGATGTGAGTCAGAGGTGTCCCAATTTGTGGAACCTGATAAGGAAATCGGTGGATTAAGAGTAAACAGTAAGATGTATTGTTTCAGGTGACATCATGGAACCAATTTGTTCTAGTTTTGGGATAGAAAAGGTAAGAAAATGAACACTTGTGCTATAAGTATAGTGTCCCTTCAGGTAGATACGTTGTTAGCCATTACAATATGATAAAGGATAGTAAGTGTGGAGTTAAATTGCTTGTGATGTACAATGAAAGCAGTTCAGTCTGTGCAAACTCCAAGATAAATGGCAAAACACTGAAACGCAACAGCACAGAAGGTTCTCGAAAAAGCAGAAAGAGAAATGTGCCCTTAAAATGGTAACTATATCCCCCCAAAATAAAGTGGACACCACTGCTTTTTTATTGGGGAGCGCTTAGGAAAATATCAAACACAGGGCAAAAAAGTAGTTCAATTGTTTTCTGAAAACAAGTCATGATGAGAAGATAGAAGTGTTACACGAATCACCACAAAGGAAATCAGTTCACAAATGTGGGAGATTAAAAAAAAAAAGAAAACAGATACAATTATTTCTGTGTGCCCAACTGCATATGCCAAACACATGGTATGTTTCCCCATGGGTTATTTTCTGATTATGCTGCACACACCATACAGTGTACGTTGTGGTTAAAGTACAGTACTCAGTAGGTGTGCTGAAGACTCACATACATTCTACAAGCTTTCTGCATCCGGAAGGTCCATCCCTTAGACACAATAACATGAGCCATCATAGTCTGCTAACGGCTACTGTAATAAGATCATAAGGTTATAAACGACAGGTATTTTGGCCCAGCGAGCTCTCAGAAGTCTGCAGTTTATTGCTCTGAGAGGAGGCTGAATATGAATAGAAGGTGAGATTACAGAAAATCACACACCTGGTGATATCAGGTCAGAAATCAGGAAATAAAAGGTGCATAAGCAATTCAGAACTGTTAAATAACATCTGATTTACTCGATACTAAAGAGTACACAATTATCTATTTGGGCTCTCTTTTTATTAGGAGTATTTTTGTGATTGTGTTTCGTCGATGTCTGAATCTGACCGATTTCCACAGCTTATACATTTTCTTTAGCACTTGTCCAAAAAAAGCAGGGAAATTTCCCAACACTGTCTGAACTGCAGTGGAGTTAATGACCATATTTTAAAACGGACATTACCGAAGAAGACTTTTCTGGTATAATCTATATGCAGTCAGAAAATAGGTTTTAAGCATCAGTTAGGAGAATTAGAGTCCCTGCTAGAGCACAATAGGATTTCCTTTTTCCTGTTAGGAATACACAGTTATTTCAATTTACAAAACAATTAAAAGTACCCCAGAGATGGCAATGTGGATGATTGTGCTAGTACTCGATCTGTAAAATGAAATGCACAATTTCCCTACAACTGAATTGCACAAGCACATACTTACAAAACCAACTGCTAATGTCATGATTATTAGCTCTCTTACTGGATATTTGTTAGAGGAAATTAATGATTCTGCTTTTATAGAACTCTTCTCCTTTTTGGTTCCACACTTTGTTCTTTCAGCTATTTGTGTGTTAAATGACCCAGATTGCATGATAAATGGATAAAACCTTGCGAAACTTCCTGAAACTTGTCACCTTGTTTATTCTAATTATACAAGAAAGAAATATAAGGAAAATAGCAGGAAAAGATTGCAAATTCTCAGTGGAACCTTAAAAGTTTTTCAATCATCCAAAGAGCTTTATATAAAAAGGAATTTGATCTCAAAGTATACTCCTCCCATCATACAAATATTCTGTGATGTGAAAAAGATCTTCTATAGAAATGTCTGTTTTTATGAATGAAGCCCGATGTCAAAATCGTTAAGGAAAACATTCATTTAAAAGGCACAGATTGTCAAAGATACACAACTGACTGCAATCTGACAAGCTGATATTAAACACCCCCAAAGGTGTTCAACTGAAAATCCAACACTTAATAGCAACCAGCTGAAGGAACTGGCAGCTGGCCTCAGAGCTCGTGAAACAATGTGTCAAAGTTCAATAGTTCAGCCGTTTGTTTTGTCTGATGCATTTTCAAATTTTAAAGCAGATCTAAAATATTCTGGGGGAATGATAATACAGGCATTCAGTCTCGTAAAGGTAAAATACTGTGTTTCCATGCACGCCAGTGCCCGTTTTCTGCAGGTTTAAAAGTTAGGTTAGTTCTGATCTGGAGAGGTGGAAGTACAATATAAAACAAGTCGTGCCAACAGTCCCTTCCTGTGTACTTGCATTGTCTCCCTTCCTTCCATGTCTTTGGTGGGAACTGTACAGAATGCAGTCTCAGCCTGTCCTTAAAATAATCTCTCACTTGGATACTCAGCTCAGCTGCCCTCCACCTCTCCACACACACACACACACACACACCATCCCCTGGAAGAAAAATGTGAGTTTTCCTCTTGAGCTTAAATTAAATTGCACATCAGGAAGGCAACTGAGGACTTCCCTAATATAAGAAAAGCAAAAACATCACAGTGCACAGCAAAAATGTCACAGATTCATGCAGTGTTTTAGTTGCAGGCAAACAGCACTTGATAGGTTGAAATTATTCAGCTCATCCAGGGTGAAAATGAACATGTGAATTCCAGTGGGAAAGAATTTGTTTTACAGTGACTCAAAGTGTAAAACTAATTTGTCTGTCATTCCCAATTTATTCAGTTTATTATTGTCAGCTTTTTCAGAAGAACTAAGTGGGCACTAACACTAACCCCTCTCTTTTTGGCCTTTTTCACAAATGTTGGTAATCCTCCAGACTTCAGATTTCACATTCCTTAATGTCAAAGGTCATGCATGCTTGTAGTGTGCCTCAATTTCTGTGAGCGCCACTGTGCGTTATGTGTGAGCGCGAGTAAACAGAGAGGAGAATGCCTACTTCCAAACAAACAAGCTGAACAAAATGTACCACAATCACTTGCTTCTAAAGTCAGATCACTTTATTGGCCATATACAATTTCTTGTATTAGGAATTCGTCTTTTTGCATACCCTAGCTTGCTCTCCATGAAGGGAGAGAAGCTTGGGGTCAGAGCGCAGGGTCAGCCAATTGTACGGCGCCCCTGGAGCAGTTGGGGTTAAGGGTCTTGCTCAGGGGCCCAACAGAGTAGGATTCCTCTGCCGGCTGCGGGATTTGAACCAGCAACCTTCCAGCCACAGGTGCAGATCCTGAGCCACAGAGCCACCGCTCCGCCCTGGTGGCCTTGAAGTGATTAGTCTTGATCTAAATAAAACAGTGATTCCATCTTTCATTACTGGAATTATTTAGGATTTCACTCTAGGGTGGTGGTTTAAAAGCGCTGTGTGCATCAGGGATGTTGTAGATGCGATGTGGAAGAGGACATCACCTCAGATGCCGGCTGAGCCCAGATGAATCAATAACGACACAGCAGAGGTAGTGGCCAGCCATGTCGCAGGGTCACAAAGGTGACAGAGATCGTTTCAGTTTAAAAAAAAAGATGGTAGGTAATGAGTGGTTAGGGACTGAAGAATACGTTTATATTATGATTTTGTGCACATTTCCCATCCCCATGGCATTTCTGCAAATAATGTGCGTTTCTCTGCTTCCCTCCAGGTCCTTGGCCTGCTGGTTTGGACACTGATTGCGGGGACGGAGTATTTCCGGGTGCCAGCATTCGGCTGGGTGATGTTTGTAGCAGTGTTCTACTGGGTGCTGACCGTGTTCCTCCTCATCATTTACCTGACCAGGGCTCACAGCAGGATTCCTCAGGTCCCGTGGAGGACAGTGGTATGTCACACCCCATTAACGTTTCCAGATTTCATCTCGGCCACGAATGAAGAGCAGCCAAACAAGGGCGAGGTCATCATGCATCAGGACAGGCCAGGGAAACGGTTTAATGATTAAAAAGAAGCTTCGATGGAGAGGAAAAACGCACTGACCTCAGGCTTTTCAGTGTTGCAGCCGTTTTAGAAGCAGCAAGTGTGCTCAGTAATCTGCTAGCAGACATACTCGGAGAAAAGGGAAATACACATCTTTAAAAGTTTAAAGTTCTGCAGATTCACAGCAAATGTGTTAAGGTTTTAGTAGTAGATCAGCAAAGAGAGAAAGGGAAATGAAGGGGAAACATGGGATCACAGATGATTAGAGTATAAACACAGATGTCATACACTTCACATGGGAAAGAATAAAGGTTTCTGGAGTCTACTGGCGGTCTTTAAGTTCCTTTACCGATTTAAATATTTGGAATCACGTATACTTTCCCTTTTCACGCATACACAGACTTGACCAGAAAAGTTACTGCAACAGACTGTCAGCATGTTGTTGTGAAAAATATAAGGACCTCAAAGCCCGAGTGTACATTCTCTGAGAATTCCATTCATGCTTGCGTGCAAACCTCAGTTTAGGGAGGTGTTTGGCTGAGTCTCGGGTGACCTAACAGCGAAGAGTATTGAAATGGTTTGTGAATGAGACACCACGACTTCACCTTAGGACAGCAGCTCTCAGTCCTGGTCTTAGAGCACCCTATATCCCCTTGTGTCCGTGTGGGCTCCTAGTCCCCCTTCTCCCGACTAAAAGAGCTCTGAATCGGTGATCAATTATCAACAGGCAGACACTGTTGGGAATGATGCTGCTTAGACATTACACATTAACAAGCTTTATCTAGCAAGCAGATCATTTGTTGTTTAAGGGCCCAGCTGGAAGAAGCCCAGCAGACACGGAGGTATGCCGAGTCACTGTGCACCTCGTTCTTTCTCTGGTAGAAATATGAAAAGACCTTTTAAATAAAGATCATTTACGACCAAGCTTAATCATTGATTATTTTGGGGGGATTTTTGTATGAAAGTGTTTAGGAGAATGGAGCATGCTAAATATATTCATGGTTTGCACAAAGTGAACATCTATTCATATTTCCAGTAACTATAACGCGGTGGAGTTCTTTGTCTTCAGCCTCAGAAGAAGTGTGGGCAGAAATACACTCACTCTCCAGTCTAGGTTTTCCTTATGGAAAATTTAAGGCTCTTAAATTTAACCCCTCTTAACTGTGGAGTAGGCAGTTTTTCCATTAGGGTGGTCTCCTTTTAAGCCTACTCTCAAGAAAACGTAAACTATACATTTGCAAGTTTATTTTAAAGCATATTTGTCAAATGTTATTGTTTTTTGCTTTTTTGAAGACATGGGCATGTGAAATTGACCTGAGTCACTTATTCTGGAGCCAAGAGTCTTGTGAGGAAGAGCTGTAATTTAGGTTTTGTGCACCGCCTTCGTAGAAATGGTATTTATAGAGTTATATATGAAATATGAGCTAGTATGCTATTCCAGTCTTCTTGAACAGAGCCCGTCAACTTTCATATCTGCATTCCATGCTATTGGAAGTGTGTTCTGTTCTACTGCCTCCTTAATTAGCTAAGTGACCTGCAACACCTGGATTGATTGAGCAATTAAGGATCCATTCAGCACATAACATGAATGGGTCAAAGGATTATGCAGTGGCATAGACTCCAGGTGCTCAAAATGACTTCTCCTAGAGCAGTTGTTCCCAGTCCTGGTGCTGGTAGCCCTCACACCTGCTGGGTTTCATTCCAGCCCACCTTCAGTAGAGAACTGAAGCCTTTGAATATTCGCATTGAGCTTTAGTCACAAGTTTGAGATTTTATTTCACCTACACAATACAAAGGGTGAAGCTCCAGCATGTTTGAACAGTTCTCATTAATCCGATTATTCTGAAAGCAGCGGAGGGCTTGATTGTGCGCTGGACCAGGGGCCAGTAGGTGTGGGAGGCACCAGGGCTGGGCTGGAGAGGGTGGTGCTGTGGCTGATCTTGTCCCCTTTCCCCTCTCTCCCCTCCAGGGCCTGTGCTTTAACGGCAGTGCCTTCGTCCTGTACTTTATCGCCGCTGTGGTGGATGCAGTGTCTGTCAAAGCAGCCCCACGCAGTGGGTACAACTTTAACAGCTGGGCTGCCTCCTCGGTGAGTCCAGGCGCGAGGGGCACGAGAGGGTTCGTGCACTGGAACAATTAAGAATCGCCTCCCTCCTACACAGCTTTACATTGCCGAGGTTCAGTCAACAAAACATAGTACGGTAGTGGCTTTTTGAAGAGTTGCAGTGCACTCCCGATGTACGCACACACCCCCTGAAATAGGAACACAAACCCTCGCAGGCCGGATAGATTTACAAACTGGAGAATGGATCCGGCTTTAAAAACTTTTTTGTTCCCGTTTCACTGGGGATTTGATTACATATGGAGGACACTGCACATTTAACACGCAGGAACATCCCTCGGTGAGCTGTTAAACTCCCTTTCTGGCACAGCTAGTGGCTGAGCCCTGTTGAGTCGTGTAATGGATTCATTTCGTTGATTACATATGAATGTTCATTACCTGTGAAAACCATTAAGAAAATATTCTTACTTTTATACATAAATGATAACTAGTTTAATTGACAGCTCAGGTTAGAAAGGACAGCAGAAGAATTAGGTTCTCCAGGAAGTAAGTTTAAAACCTTGTTGTATATATATATAAAAAAAAAAGTAAAGAACAGATATTTTTCCAGATTGCTTGTATGTGCAGTGAGTAACCATGTTCTTCCACTGTGTGTAAAAGTGTATGAATTCACTCTTCTCTTTTGTTTCAGTTCTTTGCATTTTTAGTAGCCCTGTGCTATGGAGGAAACACATACTTCAGTTTTAGATCCTGGAGAGCAGGGGATGAGGACAACTGACATCTTCATTTACATAGCAGTTTAATACCCGAGGAAGGCACTTGGACACCTATGACCTGTCGGACAAAGAATATTTAAACAACTTTTCGTCATCAGACAGCATATTAAAGCAGAAAAAAAAAAACCTCAAGTGCTTTAACAATGTCTTTCCTCCGGAAAGATGCACATCGTATCCTTTCCAAGATCTGAGGTGGCTGTTTTTATAGTTTTGGAATAATGCATTTTATTTAACTTAAATCCTAACCGTGGTTTAATTCCCCCCCCCATTGAATACAACATTTAACCATTATCTGATAATATGTTGATTTCTTTACATCATGCAGTTTGTTATTAAAAAAAACGAGTGTTTTTCCAATGTAATTATAAAAAGGTGGCTTTTCCACTTTTTTTTTTTCTGAGTGTAATGTGTTTGTCTTCCATTTCTTTAAATAAAGATTTTTTGTTGGATCTTATTTTTATTTACAATTCACCAAAATAAAATACCATACAGGATAACAGTAAACCCCAAACCCGTTTTCAGCTTTTAATGATTTTAGCATCTGTCCCCTAAAGGGCAATTATCAAATCCATTTCCATAGTACTGCAATATCTATTTGTAAGTCAGAAGTAAGTCTTCATAGCTTAGGATGGAAATTAAAAGTATGGCAATGCTATACCCCAGCCTCTTCTTTAAAAAAAAGAAAAACAAAGCCACAGACAAGATACCCAAGGGGAATAAAAATAAAAAGATACAAAATAGTACAACACAATTGTACAAATACAAAATCAGTGTCTTTTAAAGTCTAATAAAGAGTTTGATGCTAAGCTTGTGCCCATTCAGATGCATGTTTGTTGCAATACAACCTCACGGAGCTGAGCAAGCCTGCCTCTGGAGATGGAGGTAGGCGAGACCTCCCAAGAGTAGGAGGCTGCAGGAGGTGCTGGCCAGTAGGTGGCACGATTTCTGTACAATCCAGGTTCCTAAGAATTCCCTTCATCCAATTGGTGAAGCAACCTCTTGCTTTTCTATCTAAACTGCTGTGTAAGGGGGCAGATATTTGTCTTAGAGTTTATTATGAGCGCCATTACTGCATAATCGCATGTGCAAGGTCGTGCTGCAGGGATCTGTTGAGTCTATACTGAAAGGAACGTTGATACCAAAAAAACCAACCTTTATTCTGTTTCAGCAAGTTACAGGAACTGTTTCATTTAACACTTTGCAGGAGGAAAAGTACTTTTTCCACTTTCTGAGCCCTGCACAGTACAAATGCTGGGAAGCCCCAGCTAAATTCAATAAAGTCTTAAACTGCAGTTTCTGCTCTTCTGATGAAGACATCCCCCTCCCCCAACACAGCTGCTGCCATATAATGGAAGGTACACATCACCCAGGTGGGTCTGCACCTTGTCAATAGAAATGAATCCCTCCCTTTATGCAACGAGCACAGGTTCTTAGGGATAAGAAATGCAAGGGATTATTGAAAATATTCCTATTGTTTTTATGAAAGACTTCATAGGAGAGGAAGAATTTCATAATTCTTTTACCGACTACACATTTCTTAGTTTCAGACCCCATAACCCACAAATCAAGATGGTAAAGGGTCCAATTTCCTCCAATGACTTTGATCTATTCACTCCTAAGAGAAGAAGTGTTAATTTGTAGAATAACAAAATGCAAGGAAAAAAATATGGAAATGAGGGCAACCTTATTTTATGGTGGATTTTACTTGCATTTTGAATATAATTGCTCGTGCTGTGGGTGCTCAAGGCAGGCTTGCGACACGCTAGAATTGGAACAAGATGTTTTTACGAGCCACTATGTGGAAGTGGCCAAAAGGGAGACGTCAGCCCCACTCTTCCGCCCTCACTTCCCTTTTTCGGGGCGACAGCTGAGCGTCTGGCTACAGTGCATGTAGACTGTGCGACTCTGCTGCCCGTCACTCCTCTGGGTTTCTTCCACTCACCAGGGAAGCGTCTCCTAACCCCTATGGACATATGCCCACCTCACCCCTTTACAATGCACAGTATTTCCGTTAATCAACGGACCTGGAGCCTTTTGTGCCCGTCTGGATCGTATTTACATGACTGGAGATCGTCTGGTAAACTGCTAGATGTCACGAAGCAAGTCAGTACTGACTCTAGAGTGTAACCTCCGTTTCTGGTTTGAAGCATTTCATCAGATACTGCACCTTACTGTACATCCTATTTTTCTCTTTGTTCTGGGATTCTAGTTGCAGTTGAGTTTGGGAGTTATGCTTAAACAAGAAAGTCATAGTAACAGTACAGGCTGGTGATCCATTATTCCCCACTAACTGACCATGGGCATTAGGGTTAAAGGTCTCTTTGACAGAAACTGGAGGTTTATATTTAAATAGTGATCGCCAACAACAGATACGACATACAAATACAGCAAGTACTTAACACGTTCAGTTAAGGATAAGGATCAAGTTGCCACGACATTTCTGAATAAAGTGTGAACAAATACAGCATGTAAACTTGCTTCTGCTGTGAAGTCATCGCGGAGTATCCCATTAAATGCTCCCGTCTGCAGTAGCTACAGGGTCCTCCAGGAGTGTCGGAAAAGCAGTCAAATCCTCCCCCCTTTTGCTTCAAAGTTAAAGAATCAGAGTTTGCGATCATGAAATGGTAATCAGTTTCAAATACTGTTTACTTTTAAAGAACTCCAAGGGGATTGATTTCAATATCATTATATTCCTTTGAGGCAATAACTGCATGATACCTGCAACCTAAATCGGCCATGATATTTAAAGCCATTTATAAACACAATTACACAGGATATTTTGACGTGAAAGCAGTACCTTGTCAGCAGTAACACACACAAACACACACCTTACCCTCAGCGACGTTACTTGGGTTTCCTTCTGGGAAACGATTCTCAACCCTGAGAGGAAGAAAGCTTACCCAGACAGTTGCACCCAGTTATTTGCAGCTTATTCCTTGTCAGGTTTAAGCTGAAACCAACGCACCAACAGCCGCTACTCCAAGAAATATTTGCAGCGGTTTAAACGCCAGAAGACAACCTCGAAATGTCCCCCCCTTAAGCTTAGATGAACAAGCAAGGCAGCCGAAGAGCAAACTGCAGAATGCATCTAGTTCATTTCTTGATCTGGACAAAGTCACCGCTCATAACTGTGCGGAGTACACGTAGATCTTCTCCCAAGAAAGAAACAGCCACAGCTCAGACTTCACAGCTGTCCCAGCTGTGTAAATACTTGAACAACAGTCGGTTATTTTGCGAGTGTGACCTCATTCAAGTCCCCGCCTCCGTAGTATGATGGATTTCATAAAAAAAAAAAACGAGCTTAGTCCGCGACGTCCGTTTCTCCAAAACGCTACGCCCTTTCGCTCTGCTTCATGAAGTTTCCTACGTCTTTGCGAAAGGCCTTGAAAATAGGAAGGAGGAATATCTAGTTTTTAAGAGGTTCTTAAAGCATTATTAGTACCCTTTCCTTCAGTAAGATGTCCCATACGATAGTAACGGCAACCACCACCTCCACCACCTCTAGCAGTTCAGACGGCGGTGCAATATACTTCGGCTATGCGAGATCTCTCCCGGGGATACTGAAAATTGCACAAGTGGTAAGAATCGTCTTTTATTACACAAATCGCCTTTAATGCAGAGCATTAAAAAGTAACACTTCAGAAGGCGCTACCGACCGCAAACGCCCCTTCGTATGCTAGATCTTCCGCTTTATGCATGAACCTTTTCTACTTTAAGAGAAAACAGGGCGTGTGGTCAAGCGTTAGGCGTGACTGTAAAACAGCGACAGTTCTGTACTGTTTGGGTCACTCAGCAGCACCTGACTGACATTTGTTTCATGTCGGCTGGACACACCAGTCCAGAGACTACAGATGGTCTTCTACTACTAATGCAGAACCTGCCTTCATTCTCAGGCGTGGACAGCAATAACTAATCCGAAACATTCAGTTAAACAAATGGTTAGGAATTAGTGAAGTACTGGAAAATGGTACGATTATTTTGACAATTATTAAAGTATAACATTTTAACAGATTTAAAAGTCCATCTTTTTTAGGCTTTTATCACACGGGTATGCATCCCACAGTTAATTTTCAATCTATTAGTTGCGCGGATTGACTTTTAATAATCCTTTCACTGGTAAGAGCGTTTTAATTCTGTATCAAATTTAACTACATAGAGGAAGTGTATTGAACCAGGGACCCTCTTATGCTTTGTACAATACGTCAAAATGCATTCAGTACGTGCAACAAAAGCAGTTTCTTTCTTATATTAAATACCACTTTGTCTATCTATTATTGAACATACTGTCCAGTTAAACCCTTGAATTCTTTTCCCCATTCTGGACCAAAAAGAACAATTTGCAATTGTAATCAGCAGTTGTTCTCGAAGATGTATCTCCTATGTTGGCTATGTTGGCCATTTTGTATGGTCGCCAGTGACGCAGAACACAAAAATAGCATTTAAAAAAAATATATAGAAAAAAATGTCTTGGAACTTACCAATTGTTTTGTATATTCACAATTTGGAATTGCCAGGAACATTCATTGTTAACTACAGGCTTAAAACAGGTCTGTGAAGGCAAGCCATTTTCAATTATTTAAATAGTTTTCTCCTGTGTGCTCGAATTTTGCCCCAGCTGAGTTCTAGATCACTTGCTGATTGATTTAATTGTTTCCTGTTTAGGCTTATTTTTAAATTTGTGTTGAATTCTCCTAAAAAAAAGCTGAATGTGATTTCTAACTGATATCAAGGCTGGTACTAATAAGTGAGTTATGGAAATAAACCTAATTCTAGCATTTTATTTGAAAAAAAGACCAACTGGACATCAGCAGAAGGAAAAACTCTCCCATTGGAAGTGCCAGACAGTGTGGTTCCCACCTGTTTCTGTTCATCATTAATTGGTGACAAATGCTTTGTAGTCTAGTAGGGGAGGGGAGCAATTTTGCAATGAGTATCAAGCAAACTGCATTAAGTTCTGTATGCTGCCATTTTTAGAAATAATGTACTTTAGCTATAAATGTATTATTTTGAAACCAAGGCCTCTGTGCAAAAAAGACCAAGGAAGCAGATCAGCTAGAGGCTCCTTTTCTGTGATTTTGAGCTTTGTGTGCCATTTCCAGTGTTGCCCCAGTGCTTGGTAAACTGTCACATTGTCCTTCATTCGCAAGCTAACTGCCTGCATTGGTTATCAAATTAGATGCCTCCACAATGTGCGAACTCTGTGTTTATTTTATAACAGAGTTTAATTCACTACGGTGGAGTCAAGGTGACAATTGAGCAACATAGTGCTCTAATCAATTCTACCACAAGTAGAAAGTAACAATGTGTCTCGCGGTTAAATGCGGTGGAATTAAATTCAAGTCACACCTGCATATCTGGCAAATAAACTTCACAGGCTGACTGCTGGTGTCTTCTGAATGTGTGCCTTGCAATGGATACTGCAGACCTCTGTGTTTTACTGAACACATTTAAAGTAAACATATTATGATGAAATGAAGTAACAAAAATGTTTCATTGGGCGATGGTGCCTTTTGGCATCTGCTTATCTTGTCCTTGCAGTGGGCAAGTTTGTCTTTGCTACAGCACCTGAGCTATCAACAGTTCCCGTATTGTCATTGCTTATGCTTTACTGTTGCTAAGAATGGGCCATGCACACTGTCTTAAAGTGAAAAAAAGGCAACAGGAAGTTACAGATGTTTGCACCTCTTGAAGTGGAGCTATCAGCCTTGGTTCCTGGAAGACTACAAGGTTTTACGATCTGTGTTCTAGCTCAAGTCATACAGGAACTCACAGTATCTGTTCTAATTAGTCACTGAAATGTACATATTTAAGAATTTAAGTTGATGCTACTGATAGCTGAATCCTTTCTGTTTTAGTAGCAAAGGTTGTGAAAGGTATATAAGATGTTTGCACTTCAACACTGAAGTCTTTTCTGTTATATATTTTAAAGGACATGTCTAAGAGGATATCAGGTTTAATACCATTCTGGAATTACTAAATATCACACTCACTGTATAGAAAATGTCACTTTTCGAAGTACTGCAAAACAGCTGTGAGAAATGGAATAGAAATGCACCTTCCATTATCAATAGAAGTTATCTGAAACTAATGCTTTTTGTCAAAACATTTTGAATTCTGTACCTTATCCCCCGAAGTTGGCATAGAAGACCCATCACTGCATGTTTTGCGTGGATTGTGGTTTTTAAAACCAAGGTATTAACTTGCAGGTTTCCCTCAGTTTCCTTATATTTGAACATGTGTGTTGTATTTGTGTCTCAACAGTGTTGCTCTAACAGATGTCCTGTTATTCCTCCTTAGCTGGTGCTGCTGGTTGCCTTCCTGTGTGTGCACTTATGTAGTAATTGGACCAATTACGATGCGTACCGCTACTTTGAGGTGGTAACAGTCTGGTTCCTCATTGTCTTCCTGATATTCTTCATCATGCACATTTTCAGGCTTCAGAGCAAACTGCCCTGCATTAACTGGACTTTTACTGTAAGTAACTTTTGCAATTTCAAATTTTTAGGTTCAGTTTCCAGGTTGTATGTATCAGGAGGAATAGCTCTAAACTATCTGGAACACTCTGTAAGGTTGTACTGTTTTCAAAATTTCAAAGAGGGTCTTTTCCTGATGACAGTTTCAAAATGCTGCACAAAGTCTTTTCGCAGTGAGGCATAAAATATCTCAAAATGTGCTCAAGCACCAAAATAAATTAATAAGAACACTCCTTCTTTTCCAAGGCCATATTATTCTTGAAACTTAGAGCATTCTTAATGTAAATCACCACAAAGCTACACATGTAAAAAGAGCTCTTTGGGGTTCATAAAAATAAAAATATGTACCGATGGGAAAAAAACACAACACTTCCTCCTCCACACTCTGGGCCTCCCGTCTGCATGGAACAGGCTGAGGAGTGACTCATCGCAGCCTCTGTCTGGCCCAAGCCACTCAGGTGTGACGTCTAGGAGGTGTGAGCAGAGGGCAGGTCACCTTGCTCTAAGGCCAGCAGCATAAGCTTTGAATTAAGGCCTTTTTAAAGGTGACCTGATCAGGCTTTGTTCCATCTGGACCTCGTTGGGTAAAAGTGCACCTAACGAGCTTTCGTGTGATTGGCAAGTTGCATACCTCACTGCACAAGCTGTACTGCTGATCAGAGGGCTTAAAAGAAATTGACAACTTTTTGTGAAAGTATATAAGCTATAACTATAGTATTCTCATTCCAGAAAGTGTTGCTTTTCTTTTTTCCATCATTATATAGTGATGTTTATTTTTAAAACCCGATTTATAAGAAAGGATCTAATGGTCTTACTGAATAAGTATTAGTTCCCAGTCTACTGAGCGAGAGGCCGAAAGTATTTGATTGTTTTGCTAAGTTGTTGAACAAGAGTTCTTATGAATTTATATTTATAATGCTATACTAAATCAAGAAATTGTTTATCGCTTTTACAACTTTTTGTAATAAAAATAATAATAAAATAAAAAGTATAGTTCAAGCAGGTAGCTGTGTCAGCATGCGTAGGCTGCAAAGGCTGTAAACCTTTACTTGTTCCAATAAAAATTAAATTCCATTGCATTTGAACCAAATCAGAAGTTATTTCTTAATTTTTTTAAAGCCCTAATTAAATCAGAAATAAAAGTAATTTAGAAACCATTTTTAACATGAGAATAATTGAAGGATTTGCATGTGAGTGTTTAAATGCGCTGAGGTAAGCTCTGTTTTGTGGCATTTCAGGAGTTTTTGCATTATGCCATCGGAACTATCCTGATCTTCATCGCGTCCATCGTCGCTGCAGTGAAGAGTCATGGGGTTTCTTGCCTTGTAGCTGGATCAGTACGTTTTGCATCTTCTGTATGTGTAACTGAGCCAGATGGTGATTTCGTTGTCACATCCAAGAAGGAGACTTTCAGATGCCATTCAAAGCAGAATGTTTTTCCTGTACTTCAGCACATTACACAGCGTGTGCTGTAATGTAGGATGAGATGACACTGTTGGTCTATGAGTTAGATTGAGTTATGTTTTATTAAATTAACAAGGTTTAATCCTTATTTTATCATTAAGTTAAGGATAGTTAAGATTGGCTTTCTAATATTTGTTCAGTGCTTTCCGGCACAGTCAAAAAGGGATTTCTGTCTACCTGTTTAGAAAAACTCTCTTTTTGTATTCTTGGGAGGTGGGAATGCAGAAGTCTAGGTACTGAACTACTCTTTTAAATCTTGCAGGTTTTTGGATTTATAGCAACTTTTCTGCTTGCTGTAACTTTATGGATGTCGTACAAGGTCACATGTGGATCCCAGCCAACAGGTGAGCATGAGAAATCATTTCCTG